GTGTCTTTCAATACTAAGACTCATTGTATCTATATAGTAGTTCCGATCTAATAGAAATAAATCTTTTAGCAGGAAAGATTTGTGTTGCTATTGAAAATGAATTCCATCATGGATGTATCTACTATCAAAAAGTACATAAAATGTCTAAGACGTTTGAGGATGTAAGTATGATTTGACCAAAAATATTAAGAACGGATAAACAAAAATGATTTAAAAATGAGTGTAAGAAATCAAATAAGATATTCAGAGCAAAAATTAACCTAAACATTACAATATTTACTGAGAAACAAATTATTGAACACTCCACGTTATTTAGACTGCGAAATTTTAAACAAACACACAGCATATTAATATGTTTTGAAAATTTAAGCAAACATTTTAAACGTTTTTAGACGTCGATAACAGAGAAGACGTTTTTGTTACTTAAAAGGATCTTACGCTCTTAATGACAAAACGTTTAAAAAAGATTAAATTTTTATTATTTGAAAATTTGTTTACTTTGTTAATTTATTTCTTTGCTCTTTGTTGTAATCAGAAAACTTAAGTAAAACTAAAAGTATGAAAATGCTTGCATAGATAGCTTTCTAACAACGATTTGTATTTTCATATTTAATAGTTTCATTTGTGGCAAAAGAGAGCTTTTCTTCTGTTTGCTCTTTTAATAATCGCCATCAATCATTTCTTTATTTATTGCATTTTTATACGCAAATATTTACTTTCTACAAATGGTTACTTTATCAAAATAAAAATTCGATTAGCTAACAAAAAATAATTGTCACAAATATAATCGTAACATTTCATTTGTGTTATAAACGTTCGACAATCAGTGCTAAACTTTGATTGCTAAAACAAAGAAAATAGTAAATTAGTGTTAATGAGAATATGCAAATGAATTCAAAACTTCATTACATTTACATTTCTATGCAATTTCAGTTTCTTTTTTCTTGTTTTACGCACTATGTAAGCAACAACTGATACTGTGTGATTGTTGAAGTTAGCAAAAAGTCTGATGCTAACTGCTTTATTTAAGCAATTAAAACTAAAATTCACCTACGAATAAGGCAAATAATTATATTAGTTCAAAAGTACTTAACGAATTGGGTCAGAATTTCAACACTGATTTTACTCAGATTGTAGTGGTATTCTATGAATGAGGCACCATTTCTTACATATTTCTTTTCTATTTAATTTATTTCATTTGAAAAAACAAAATATAATAAGACAGTTTGCAAATTGTCTCATTCCATTCAATTATTACTTCAGATTAATTCCAAATAAAATTTTAAATGACATTTTCCAATTATGATTATGAAGCAAAAACTACTAAAAAAAATTATACTGGTCACATGCTGAGATTACTAGCACAGGGATACTGTTATCCAATAAGTGGTAATAAAAGTAGAAAATTATCTTAAAACTTCATTCTGAATGTATAGCACAGCCTTGGCTCTAATCCCAATCGTCATTGCGCAGATCATTTTGCATGAAATGATTTCATTTCGCGCTTTGATTATGTAATGGAAACTGCCATGTTTCTCCTTATATTTGAAATAAATTTTATCACTTCTTCAATGTGAGCCATTCGTACACGTAAAACAAAACTGTTCACTCTTTTATATACCAAAATGAAACAATATTATATAAGTGCAAGTATTTTACATTATAAGTTAATCCAGAAATAAGAATGGAAACCAGTCGCAGATCTAGCGTAAAAAATCCTCAGAAAAGAAGTTCCCATTCGGCTAGTTCAAAATAAAAATTTCTAGGTCTCAAACACATCATTAATTTAGTTAGAACACAGTTTTTCTAGCTTATTAATATACAATTCTAGCAGGTTAGAAACGATAAAAAATGTGGTATGCACAAACAGACTTGTTAAAGACCACAGTCACGATATTATAAAATTATTCAAATGAACAAAGAAATTTTACAAAATCCTGCATCTTTGTGATAAAATTGGTATCGATAGCATTAATTCGATAAAAAGTTTTATTAGATCAAAAATCTCCTTCAACAATGATAGGGTTTTCTATATATTCAAAACCGTTCACCGCTGCCTTTAATGCTAGCAATTTTTCGTCCAACCTTGCCGTTAAATTCGTCTCTCCTTTTGACTGTATATTGGTAATAACCATCTTTTGAAAACTTATTAGTAATCCAATGAGTTCTATATCTGTCCCTGGGTGTTTTTCTACCTGCAAACACTCTTCTACAGTAAATAAGACAGCAAAGAAAGCCTTTAAGTTTCATTCTATAAACAATTTGATTTCAAAAAGAGAAAGAAATAAACAACAATACCTTTAATTGTTGGCATTTAAAATGTAAATGCTAGTAATTCAGTGAGTTCTATATAGAATGAAAAACTTCGCAATTCACATTTCCAATACAAAACAATTTACCTTTTCAATCAAATGTGAGACGAATTTCCCAGAAGCATGCACAGCAATTTTCTCGTTTCTTGTTATTAATATCAGGAGTGCTAAAAGTAAGCCAGAAGCTGGATCTGTGCAGTCCCGTAACTGATCACCTAGTTCTTTTTCATATGAGTTAATTAAATCGATACTGAAAGTGCAGAATAGTCATTCTCAATACATACGCATGCGACAAGTGTGTCAGAAAACAATGATATAGATCGATATGATAGTTATATTTATGTGAACATAAAACCTTAACTGAATTAAACTGGACAGCTAAGCACAAATTAAATCACATGACTAAATTATTGATGCAGAGCATTATTTGAATTTATTAGGGCTAAAAACGTAGATCAAGTAAACCATATTTAAAAATAATAAATATCTGGAATAGAAACAGATCGTATTGACAAGAAAGTACTAATTAAACGATTTAGGAAATAAAGAAACCTAAAAACCGAACCGTAGTTTTTTATCTGGGATCTTTATCATTACAGCGCAAACTGCTGAAGAACAAACTCCAAATACGGCATCATGAAATAGTCCCAAATCTTTGGCAGATAGCGCTGCGAACAACTTTTCAGTAGCCATACGACATTCTGGATTTTCTATACTTGCTATTGTTTCATCACGAGCCTTGCAATTTAACATTATCAAGAAAGACATCCAGTGAGCAGTGTTTGAAACTTGTGTACTAATTATAGTAAATAAAAGTGACCTGGATAAATATAATTGCAAAATTTAATAATGGCTCATCAAAACATTGTCTTTAATTCATATTAGTTCCTAACTGTAGAGATTTCAGTTCATAAAATGACCTTTGTACTAAGGGTATCAACATCTTCGGTTCTTGATAAATAGGATAGAACATTGTTTGCAAAGTGTGTGCACAGAGTTCGAAGAAGGTACAACTTTAGATTAGCTTTCACTGTATCTAAATGCATGCTTTTTACGTTATAAAATCTGCCTCACAATTCAGGGAAGACTTATTTGTTAAAATTTAACCTTTTTACAACAAAATCTTTTCTGAATAGTGACGTAATTTGTTCATCATACAAAAATATAGAATAAATACATAAGTGACGATCAATAAGCACTTAAATTCTGTACGTTTTTCTCACTTTCAACTAAAAACGAAAAAAAAACTTTAGACAGACAGAAAAACATTCAAAAATTACCTTCAAATGCGGCTGCACCATCTTCAAAAATACAAATATTGTTATACAAATTCGATAACGTTGCTTGTAGATCTGAATGAGATCGTTTCTGATCTTGTGCAGATATCGTTCTCGTAGTATGCAACAAAGAATCGATTCGAGCTCTTAACGAAGCGTTTGCTTGTGCTTGTATCTTGTCAATAATATTTTCTACCAGTTCCCTTGGTCCTTCGACAAATTTTTGTATTTCTTTCATTAGTTCTTCTTCTGAGAGTCTGACTGATAACTCTATAAATCTTTTCCACTGAAATTTTCACGAAATGGTAGCTAATAAACAACTGATAATGAAGGATGGAATGCAAACAATTCTTTATAACCTTTATTATTTCGAAAACAGTAAATATTAAACACATAGATTCATCATATTATAACAAAATTTTACAGTGCTTACGTGAGTAGTCCTCATCTGGTATTTGCATTGAGCCTTTTCTCTTTACACCTTTGCCCTTTTTGATTTTGGCTGTATTCCAGTCATCTGACTTCTGCAAAATCACTTTTTAGAATTAGGAAGTTATGCGAGAAATGTAACTAATAAACATACTTGCAAATTTATCACAAAAAATGTACAGCTAATATGCAATTTCTTGTTGCCTATAATTCAATTACATGAAACAATATTTAGCCCTCCGAACCACTGCAAAATTCAACCAATTAATTTCTTTAGAGCTTTCTAAAATCATCAACATTATATAGAAAAGAGGAGCAATTTTTAAATCATTTTAATCAAAGTCACATACTTTTTCTTGCTTTCTACCAATTTGTTGTTTACCACTCATTAAAGTAAGCTCCTTAGCACGAGTACTGATGAAATCATCCAATGCTGTTATTGCATTTGATAAAAATTGCTTATTATAGATGTAAGATGTACCATAGACCGGAAAGCACTCCTGAAAAAACAGCAGATTTTCCTTTCCACGCGAAATGCACAATCGAAATGTATTAAACTTTACTTTTTGTTGGATGCATGTCATCAGAAAAAAAAAACAATAATATCAAACCTTGTTACTTTTTATTAGAAGGGCCATCGCTTGTTCAAAATCTGCATCATTTTGGATAACATCAGGTAAAAACTTTTGCACATTAGCAATCGATTCACGATTCAACTAAAAGCACGACCACGTTATAACAAAAAGGATAAATTTTTTTGTTGCAAAATTTAAATGCGATAGAAATATTATTTAAAAACCTCTTCATTTATAGCTGCCTCAATTTCGTCCCAAACGTTGCTACTTATGACTGCAGATGGAAAATGAACAATTTTCAAATACTCTGACTCTTCCAACACATCTTTGAGATAAGCTTTAGGATCTGTTATCAGAAATTTTTTGAACATTGAACACTCTAAAATTCGCAGGTTACTAACATATTTAGTGATATTTACTTATTTTGAAGTCAGCAAAAAATTCATTAATTACGAATTTAAGTACTATTCAGTGAATATTTCGCCATATTTGCTATATCATGCTTAAAAGTGTGTATAAAAAAATTCCAATATCTAAATTTCTAGATAAAAGCGTCATTTTAAAAGTATTACGTAATATTCCTTCTTCTAAGAAGGTTTTGCGTATATACTGTTTTACTAAAACTGAATAAATATTTGGCTGATACAAAGAATGGATAGAAGTACGGGAACCAATAATTTTTCCTGGTACCTGAAAATTTTGCTTTTACTTCATCGATATAATTAATGATTATTGTAGATTATTGAGAAATTTTACTTCCTAAATCGTCAAAAAATTTACTGCGTAAGAGCAATTTCATTAAAGATTAATTTCTACCACAACAAATATTTTGATTAATACTTATGTAGCTTAAAACCAATAATCTGGCAATTATATGCTATCGCAATTGAGCATATTCGTTACTAGCCATTTAACTCTAATACTTAATATACAGCATTACAGTCAATTAACAATTAATGATCACAGAAATATTTCTCAGTAAAGTACTATTTTTTTTAACTACTGTTTTACTGGAAGTATGAAAAACAAGATTAAGTTATCTTCCTCTAAAATATCTAGAAACTTTTTTACGTTGAAAACAACCTCATTTGCTGCATCAAGTTGATCGAAAAGGAACCAAAACATTGTACTTGTTAATCCCAATTTGGACAGCATTTTAGCCACTGGTATCACTCTGAAGCGAAAAGATAACAACATACACTCCAAAAGAAGTAATAATTGATGTCGAAGATATTATACATGAAAGATTAATACTAAGCATCACAACAAACTTGGTCACTCCACAAAGCATGGCCTTAATCACATTTCGCTGGCCGCATAAGTAGGACCGCGTATACAGCGCATCAGCTTCAAATGTAGCCTCCACTTTTGATCCAATTTCATGTAGTATCAAATCATTTAGCATTTCAGTTGGCAAGTCCCATTCTTTTGCTAGCTTCGATATAGAAACGACACCAGTTATCAGCAACCGTTCATTCAATGAATTGCAGAGTGCACTAACATAATCCCTAAAAACTATGCAAAACATCAAGTTTAAAAAATCAAGTATCACCAGGAATTTTATTTACACAGAAGTGCTTCAAATTTGATGAGAAATTTTTCTCTACGCAAATAAGTAACACTGCAAAAAAAATTTTGAAAAATATGCAAAGCAACAAACTTGGATATTAACTCAGCATTATAAAACACAAAAGATGAAGATTGTTTCAAGATGAGAGGTACGATATGCTCAATGTGTTCATAATTGACATTTAAGGTATGAGCTAAATCTGAGAGTGATACACGTCCTCCTGGAAAAATTAGTTAACATTTAGAACTTGTCGGTTAATTCACCGAAACAATTGCAACTTTTAATCTTGTAATCATTATAGACTTGAAAATTGAGAAGGAAATATAATTCAAGTAACGAAGCAAACTGCCTTGTCCGAAACATTCATTTTTGATTTCAGTGAGTAAGTGATCTCGAGTAACATATTCTTTGCCATCTGTTGTAAAAACAATATCCAGATCCCCAGAGCTGACTAACATCGATATCACTTCAATACAGTTGTTTTCCGAAAGTCTGAAACAAAGCTACAGCTTCCTGAACTGAACATAGAATTCTCACCCAATCAAAATAAGAATGCTTACTTCTTAGACTCACTGGTTAGCTGCAAACGTTGAAAATCAGCGGCTAAGCGTTGAATATCTGCCCATGTTGCACTCATGATCCAGGCAATTGGCTTTTCAACAACACTATAAAAGTAAAAAACCTTTACCAAATCGCAGACAATTTCATAGCATGGAGCTACTACCTAGTAAACTGCTACTCGTTTGGCGACCATTAAAATCATAGAACTACCATTAAACTGGAATTTAGGGATTTTTTCTCAAGCCAAAATACGTCTACATCATACTGCTTCGTAGAATTCTTTTAGATATCTGTTGTAGAAGTACAAGACAAATGCAAGAAAACTACGTGACAAGCAATAAGAACACTTTATTACGAAAACAGTTATGTCATGGTTACAAATTTGTTAGATGCTGCCAGCCTTTTGCAGCGTCATCGAAAAATGAAAAAACAGTAATTTAAAAGAGAAAACAATAGTAACAAATATGCCTTGTATATCTTGATGAAGATATCAAATACAAATTTATTTATTCCTCTTGCTTTTCCTGGATATGTGTCATATTTAGTACTTGACAAACAGGATCTAATACTGAAGATGTTTCTCCAGAAGGATCAGCACGCAGCATTATCGATTCTATATCAGAAAATTCGACTTCACACGATGCTGCCCAATCTTTGAAATACTCTAAATCTAATAACAACTGCCGCCTTATTTTACTTTCATCAGAATCTATATTATTCTCATTTGAAATTAGTGATTTCCGTTTGAAACGTTGCAAACTTGTCTCTGTTTGCTCGACAGATTCTAAAACCTAAAATTATTCAAATAAGTCAAAACGATATTTAAGAAATCATTTTTAACTGCAGCCATATAAAAATTAAAAGTGCATTTTACAAGCATAAAGAGCAATTATTTTCATATAACTGAAGTTAACAATGAATCGAAATAACACAGACAATTAAAAAATAACCTGTTTGGTTTTCAAAGAAAAGATTTTGACCGATTCACTGAATATTCGCTTATAAACACTTGTTATATTTTCTTCGCTCCAACAACAACGTTCCATCTCATCCTGTAACATTATTTAAATAAAAACTGACTAAATCAATGAAAATATTGAAAGAATGAACCTTGCAGGATTTAATTGCAGCAGAGGTTTCAACGACGTAATGAGATACTTCAGTAGGTGCAGGTTTTTTGGTCCAACGATACTGGCGAGGTATTCCACAAACACCATCTAAAATCTGAAATGCTCAGCAGTAACATTATTCACATTTCTTACAATACAAATATTTATTGAATGTCCTCAGAATCTGTAGTAGAAAAAAGAAAAGTAATGGTGCAGGAATACACAAAATCGTTGTGCTAGTTGTTCCACTGAAAATTTTTCACTTCTATATCACTAACTGAACCCTCCTTTATAAGAATTATAGTGAATTATTACCAAACAACTTTTGAAATGACATAGAAGTAACAAAAAAAGCTTAGAACATTTCAATAATTCCAAGTTTAACTTGTACGAAAGCCTTAAATTGATCTTATAATTCAGTGCAGAAGCAATTATCCTTAGAGACATTGAGAAATTAAATATGTTATTTAAATGTATCGAGAAACTAAATTTGTAACTGTCAATGCGACCAAAAAATTATAAAAATCATTTTAATGGGTAAAGTGACAGTTTATTTTATGGGCCCATATAAAATAATGCACACCATATGATAATGGAGGCCAAAAACTACTCGGCCGTTTAAAAATAGATCTTTATTCCTGAAATAAAATGTTAAAATCAAACATGAAATGTTTAAAAAGTCAAAGTAAAAAGTACACCATACTTTTGTCAGTACTGACATAAAATCAGCAACGATGATTTCTTCCAGTTCCTTTATTTTTTCAGCTAAATTTGATGAAAAAGTAGATAAACATTGTCCAAAAGGTGTAACTTCCAACTGAAAAACAATTTCTACCAATTACGAACAATCATCCCTGCACAAAAAGTTACATCTACTGACTTCAGAAATTTTCTTACTTCATGTGCGCGAATTTTAGGCCAAATTGATGTTAAAGCAATTTCGAAAAACTGACTGTCAACAAACATACAATCAGCACATAAAGCGCATAATATCCGCCAAACTTCCGAATCTTCTAGTGCTTTCCCATCAGTCCAATAACACCTGAAGAGACTAAATGGGATCGACATTTTCAGCACTACAAAAAAAAGTATACGTTCAAGAAAAATCAGACTTTTTTATGTTATCGATCCACTCCAAATATCTCACAAGAACTTTAAGAAAAAAATCCCATGATTTGTCAACCAGTGTCGGAAGATACACTTCATCAGACCAAATCCTATCACATGCGTGGACAACAATTTTAGAAAATCCATAAAACATTGTCTTCTTCTTTCCTTCACTTTCTTTATCGATAATGGGATTCAAAGAGGATGGATCACATTGCTCATTCATTTGAGTTATAAAGTGTTGCGTTACTAGCTTGAAGTATACCACCAAACTGAATTTATCACGTATCATACGCAAAATCGTGCGTACATGAGTATCACTCGGCCAATTACTGATAAAATTGATCGTTTTTGTATAACAGCGATGAAAAAGATGACTGTCACTGGGAACAATAACAGAACCAAAGTGCTAAAGAATGCGAAATCATATCATCTTAGAACAAAATTCTTTTATCAATATTCAGTCGATGAATAAGGATTTTGGCAAAGAGATTGAAGTTTGAAGCAAAAAATAAATAAAGCTAACGATCCTAGAAAAAAATGGAAATTAATACTGGACTTCACAAATTAACCAACCTGATCGAGAGCGGACACGATCCAAGTGAGCAGACATTTATCAAGAAAAGGAGCGATTTTAGCAAAATCTTTACCACCAGTTTTCGATCTTTGTTCCCAATCATTTCGAAGCTGCAAACAGATGACAAATGATTTTCTTGCAGCATCGATAAAATAGAAAAAATTCAAAGCATTTTGAATAATCTCTGACAGCAAGTGATTCAAAATGCTGATTAATCGCAAATATTTGAAGCGCAGCGATTTTGAAACAGAAAGCTCACAACACGTACTTCGAAATTATTTTACACTACCTAAAAACTAGATACAGCCTCACAGAAGATCCTACTGTCGACAAGTATTAGCAGCCCAAAAGGCACTCTTGTATAGCGAAATAGAAAAGAAAATTCACCATGCAAAGTTGTACAAGATGCTGGCGAATAAAATTTCGTTCATAGCTCATTCATCAATACGGCTACGATACGGAAACATTACCCCGCAAGATGAAGCACGATACTTCTACCTCCAAGATAGAAATATGATTGGAGCTGAAAAAGGTATGTGTCAACATCGTAGGGAACGCGTGAAACGGTGGACCATCTAGCAACGCAGTGTGATATCGACCACTATACTAGAAGACACAATGAGGTCCTGCGATGCATTCATTTGGGACTCTGCAAGAAGTATGATCTGAAAGTATTCCCACATACGCGAAGCCATTCTGTTCAGAAAATTGTCGTAATGAGACCGTAGAAGATAAGAGTAAGAGTCGACACTCGAATAAGAACAGCAATTAGAATAAAAAGCGGATTAACCAGATAACATAATCCACGATAAGAAGCAACATGAAGTAATCCTCATAGAGGTCCACATCACTAGTTAAGTTAGGACAAGCTGACAGCAGTCGACCGAGAAACAGTGAAAATATGATCTGCAGGGTAATAAATTCAGGTCAGCGATGAAATGCAAGACGGGGATGATTTCATCTGTGATGACTTGGGATTCCATACACGTTACGCAAAAGAATCAGTATAACCGTACACATCGAGGCATATATTCAATCGACAGTGCTCAAAAAGACGCGCGAAAGCATCTCATCCGATAACCGCTACGGATTCCACAAGATTGAAGCATCAGAACAAATTTGAGCGCGGGATAAGTAAAACCAGAGTAGGATGCAGTGCCAGAATCAACAAAGCAGAAAAGAAGACTAACCTCCATATTTTCTTTTTTTCTATATATATTTTTTTTATATTAATCTGTTTACTTTTACTCTTTGCTAAAACTAATCGAAATTACAAGAAATCAATGAATCTCACTGTTCAAATATATGGCAATCAACAACTTTCATAACCCAGTTACACCTCGAAATGAATAGCTCTATACCTTCAGAATGCTTTCATATATTTCATTTAAAAAGTCTTCCAGATTTTCTTTTGGTTCACTAAGTTTTTCATCAATAACTTCGGTCATCACACGAGAAACAGCGGTATCGATATCATTCTTCAAACTGATGACGTCAAGAATTTGCTCAGCAAAAAGGCAATCACCTTTAAGATCTTGCACAAGCCATCTTCCTGCCAATTCACCAACATGAGCTAAGCACGTATGATAAGCAGCTTCAACCTGAAATCAAAACTTATAGTGAAATACGCTTAATTTCAAATTGAAGAGATCATAAGAAACTAATCCTTACCTTTTCGTCAATATCCTTCACTTTATTGAACCACAAAATCATGTCCACAATCGAGTCAGTGAAACTTTGTAACCTTAAGTTAAAAAATTAGACAAAAAGGAAATATAATAATATCCTTAGCATCATATATATAATATGCATGAGAATCTTTTTGAAGTGATATATAATATTTACCAAAATTCCTCTATTTCTTCTGGACAGCAGGCAATTAAATCAGATAATCGCTCAATCGATATAATAAGAGCAATCTGTGCTCGAATTTCAAATTGAGCTTGTCGACATGCAATGAGACTGGAAACCTTTTGTTCAACAAGCTCAGCAGACTGTCTGACACTTTCTGTACTGCTACAAAAATTGAGCCATGTTACCTGGAAATGAACATCTTCTACAACTTTTCCTTCCAGCGACTGATGACATCAAGATTCCTAAAGAATGCTCATAGACGAGAATGAACCATTGAATCACAGGCAAATCGAATTAAAAAAAATCTACTTCGATATCTTTGGCTAATTTATCGATCGTTTCCTTCAATCCAACAAGATTTGATGATAAATTTACAAAATCTGCGTAATCATCATTAATGAGTTCAATCATCGAATTCTGCACAATTTTTAGATAAATTTTCAAATCATTATGGATTTGCTCAAGACTGGCACGTCGTCGAACCAAATTTACAAATCGCTCAACGCTGAAATTTGCTCTGCTGAAGAGACTCTGAAATGATATAAAATTCATCCTATATAAAGTAAACAATAATCAAATAGAATATGTAAATCTCCCCAAAGTATTAGACTAAAATTTTGGCAATAAACACCAAATGATCCATAAAATTTTTAATTCCTTAAGTTCAGGAACAAAAACTCAATGCTACAACTACAGAACCTAATATTGACGCACAACTAAAAAGGAAAAATTGAAAATCAAATAAGTTTTCAATTAGAGCCCAGACGTTTTATGCTCGAAAAATTAAATCTCAAGATTATAAATAATTTTACACCTCCACACAGTGAAATGAACGTTCCTTATATTTGTTACAGGTGTGATCATAGAAAAGACTCAAAAACCAATTACATGCTGTGAAAAATCGAACCTTATTAAAGCAAAGATGAGACTCATACAGTAAATTTCGTTGTGATACAACACCATTACTCATTTCCACATCATCATCAACCGTTTTCATCTCTCAAGTATTTTGAGAAGCGTATAGCCCCAGCTACACTTTAGTTTATCGCTACAAAAAGTAATTTCAAACCCAAATTGAAAAAAATAAACAACTACATATCAAAAGAGTGCTAAAGGGTGGATCTTTTCCAACTTTTTAAGCTAATTTTGAACTGCCTAAAATAAATCCATGACAAAAAACTTGAAATTCGGAAACCAATTTTCATCAGTTCGCAAATTGCGTTCATTTGTACAAAATAATGGCTTTTTAAAATTTATTCGAGCGAGATCAAAAACTCATCAAAGATATGAATATTTGAATAAAAAATCAAACAAAATAGTTGACTAGAATTAATACTTCAGACCAAATCAACGTTCTAGTTTGATTAAAGTTTCCAAGATAATGAGAAAACAATAATGAAATCGGCAACCCAATTCCATAAATATTTTTATAAATGCTGTTCACTGGCCATTTTTACCCTTTCATAAACAATCAAATTATAGAATTAAATAAGGTAATAAATGACTAATACAAAACTTTAAAAACATATGGTTTTTTTTGATAAAGTATTAGAAATTTTTTGTTCACATTTTCTTAGCATTCATCGTCATTATTGGTGCGGTAAGCCATTATTGCCTCAATTTATCTCACTTGTGAAAATTCCCTGTTCTCTGAAAAAGGTGACATTGAATAAAAAATACTACTTCAGGTAAAAATATTACCCCGATACACAAAATACAATTCACTTGAAGGTAGTTCTGACGTAAAACCACATTCTAAAAATTGTTTTGATTGATTTAGGCCTTTATTATCAAGTGTACTGTAAGTTTACTCAGCAATCACAAATTAAGCGAAACTCTGATACATACCTTCTTCCTATATCCTAGCACAAAATGTCTAAAATAATTTTGTTATGAATACAATTCAGACCAAGAATGTAAGAGAAGAACACTCAAGATAAGAGGAAATCATAAATAAACGGATATCAAGTCCCGCTCATAATTCATGTAACTTAACCTTTGAAGCTAGAGTTCTGAAATGATTCCTTTGACTTCTCTTGAAAAAAATTTTTTCTCTTGTTGAACTTCATTAACTCAAAAGCTTAAATCTTTTAATAAACTAACATCCTTAATTTTATTCCCATTCATCCAGATCCTTCTCGAAAACAAGATTACATACCTTTCTTGTTAACTGTGTTTTATAACTACACCCAGCTGTAACATTTTGTTTTGGAGCATGTTTTGTTTGTTTGATCCGTGGCAAATTCGAGCACCTAAATATAAAAGTAAGATTTCTCGATTTCCAAAAAGATCATAGATGTAAATCAATTTTGTAAGTCTTTAAGTTTTTAGTAAATTTTCCCAAGAATTCTGAAATCAATTTTTTAATGCTGCATAACTTAAATTTTTAGCTCATTACCTATCCAGTAAATTTTTGTTTAATTTTTAGCTATTTACTAAAGAAATCTCTGGAAATTTACTTACTGAAGAAATCTCTGGAAAAAATATTACCCCGATACAGAAAATACAATTCACATGAAGCTAGCTCTGACGTAAAACTACATTCTAAAAGTTGTTCTGATTGATTTAGGCCTCTATTATCAAGTGTATTGTAAGTACCTCAAGAACTCTGAACTCAGTAACATAACTTCAGAAAATCCTTTTTGAAGGGAAACCTAGTGCAGCAAAAACCCGATTTTTTGAATGACTAACAAAAAGACTTATA